GTCTATTCTTTCTCGTTCTCTCCCATCTTCTCTCCGACGTTCTCCCTTCTCTCCTTGCTTCGTTGTCGCTCCCTCCATTCTTCGCTATTTTTGGAGTCAAATTGAATTCAATGTAATACAATTTAAATTTCAATTCAAATTCAGTTCAAATTCAGTTCAAATTCAGATCAAATTCAGATCAAATTCAGTTTAAATTCAGATCAAATCTAAGCTACCAGATCGGCCCGGGACTACTTGCCCGTCCGGGCCAAAAAAATAAAAATAATTGTTTCTTTTTTTCAAATTTGGTAAAGAACTTCGATGTGACCCTGAGGCAGATGCGACCCTGAGGCAACAGTCGTTTTCTTTTTTTTTTTTTGCATAACATATAATGATATGTAACCGCCCGCATAGCACGCAGTAACCAGCACTCTGGACAAAGCCAACAAAGCTGTATCATCAATAAAACATCGGCATCTTATTGCTAGTAAGTTGTCACACGTTAACCAGTGCCGATCAACTGTGGTCGCCATTAAGAAATGCAGATCTGGACAAAGCCAACAAAGCTAGATGACAGCATCAAAAATCATCAGCATCTTATTCAGTTGACACACGTCAACCATGAAGAACAGCAGATGGTAGATGAAAAAATTGATGAAGACGAACAGCAGATGGTAGATGAAAAAAATGATGACGACGGACATGACCAATCACCAACGCATGACCAACCACCAACGCTTCCCACAAACTCTCTATCTCATTCCATCAGACATGCAGACGGCGTTGAGGCGAAAGTTCTTCGGTTGAGAGTTGCCTTTTTTTAGTACTAGCTGAACGTAAAGTAATGGCTTCTATGCAGCGTAGAAAAGGTCCGAATGTGGTCGGATTGTTTGGGTAATTACAACCTTAAGCAGATGGTTTAAAATTAATGATAATAATAAAAGAGCCTGTTCTACCAAGTAGTGTTAATTTATTCATCTTTATAATGGCTCCAGTCTATGTTAAGTTAATTTTTTTTGCATAACATATATTTTTAACTTTGTTTTTTTTTTTTTTTTTTTTTTTTTGTTTGCGCTCGGGCAGATCTACCGAACGCATCCCCAAGGGAATCAAGACGTGTTTGATTCTTGACCAGGTATGAAGGCCCGTCCCGAACACCAGTTACCCTATATATATTTTTATATAATTTTAAATTTGGTAAAGAATTTCTATCTAACCCTGAGGCAAAAGTTGTTCAGTTTACTTTTCTGAATAACATTTTTTTTTTTTTTTTTTTTTTTTTTTTTTTTTTTTTTTGGTTTGCTGGGAGCTTCCCTGGTCCTTGCACGGCCGGGAGGCCCAGAGAAACAGGGTGACCCGGGCGGTCCGGCTGGTAGCCTAGGTTCAAATTCAATTTAATCCGACAATTTAATAATCCGATTTAAACCTACTGCCGTTCTTGTATTTTCTAGCGGTTCCTATTTCCGAACACATGCTATTCCCAATATACTATTACCAATGTACTAGTATTGTTTACGAGCGGAAAAAGGGATTTGAACACATGCGATTTCCAATAGACTGATCCTAATGTGCTATTCGCCCAATTACACCTCCCCACTGCGCAGAGGGGGGCTATATAGAGTTGAGCCTTATCCTTTCACAGTTCCACTTTCCTGTTACGTGTACAAGTGTATGTCACCTCTGGAATATAGATATATATATCTACAATATATCTATATATAGTCAAACAGAGCTGCCCGGTGAACAGGCAAAGAGGGAGAAGAGGACAATAAACGAGGGGCTGTGACAAACTGTTTCGTCGGAGTCTCACCGAGTCATCAGGAGGCTGATAGATATATATATACGTATATACTGTCAAACAGAGCTGCCCGCTACACCTTACGAGAGAGGCTGATAGATATATATACGTATATACTGTCAAACAGAGCTGCCCGCTACACCTTACGAGAGGGAGAACAGGACAGCAAATACATATTATATGTATATGCATTGTCACACTGTAAATCAGTGCGCGAAGGCGAAAAAAAGCAAAACAAGGAAAGGAAAAGAAGGAAGGAAAGCCCCACCTGTTCATCACCTCTTACGTACAAGGCCAGCCACGTGGATGACAGGTTGAGCGATGGCTGCCCCCATCCCCGTGTGTCACAAGGACCCACTCGCACGCAACCAAAAGGCAAAGAGGTAAAGAAATCGTCAAACAGAGCTGCCCGATAAACCGTAGGCAGAGACGGAGAAGAGGACAACAAACGAGAGGGCTGCGACAAACTGTTTCGTCAGAGTTTCACCGACTGACTCATCAGGAGGCTGAACCCTCAACAGTCTGCAGAAGCCCCTAACTGATTACACTAAGTGACAATCCACCTTAACCCCGGTTGTGGTTATGTACATGACAGTACATCTATATGACTACGTGTACATATATTGTATTGTATTGTGTTTATATATATCGTATGTATACATAAACATACTTTATAATATTTTATATACAGTCAAATAGAACTGCCGGGTATAGTGTAGACAGAGAGGGAGACGTGAACAACAAACGAGGGGCTGTGACAGTCCAATACAACTGCCGGGTATAGCGTAGACAGAGAGGGAGAAGTGAACAACACACGAGGGGCTGTGACAGACTGTTTCGTCGGAGTTTCACCGACTCATCAATCAAGAAAGACTGTACCCTCCTCTACAGTCTGCAGAGTCCCTTGACCGATGATACTGAACAAATTATCCACCTTAACCCGGGCTGCGCAGCCCAGGTTAGAGTGTGTTAAGTGGGATTAAACCGTTGAGTATCGCAGCCCGGGTTAAGGTGGATTATAACGTTCAGTATCATTGGTTAGGGGACTCTGCAGACTGTAGAGGAGGGTACAGCCTCTGCTGATTGATGAGTCGGTGAAACTCATCAGAGCCCCTCGCTTGTTGTTCTCTTCTCCCTTTCTGTCTACACTACACCAGGCAGT